ACCCACGCCCACACCCACACTCACACCCACACCCACACCCACACACCCACACACCCACACCCACACCCACACACCCACATCCACACCCTACAAATTTTTTCTCGTGGGTACTATCCCGCCCCAAACGCGATCAATGGATTTTAATCAATGCTCCAGCTCTAATAATACCTCTATCCATTGTGCCTAATCGTGGTGTTGTTGCTTTCTCCATTTCAGTTGCATGGTTGGTCACATTATTTGTTTTCAACAGCACACTATACTTTAACACTGCTCAAGAGCAAACAGCCTATTGCCAATGCCTAGGTTTATGTCCAAAACTTCGAACAGCGACTGAGGAAGAAGCTTTTGAGAAAGGTTGGCTTGCTGTGGATGGATTTGTGGAAAAATTGGAACAACACCGTCTTCTACAAATCTATCAATGCTGTTCTACTTCCAATCCATTGGCATTCGTGAGAAAATTGATTGAAAATTGAAATAATACACATGCACATCTTTCATTGCATGTTGGTGGTATCATTCTCAATCTCTTGAAGCATTTATCTTAATTACCTTGGTGCTCACTGTTCTTTTTTTCCTCAGCCGTAATTCAAGATTTTAATTTAGAATTAACAAAGATATTTTCTAGTGATGTAAGAACGTTCATTTCAAGTCAGAAAATAAATTGAAAAAGTTGTTAATGCAATCTCTGGAGATTAAAATATGAAACATGAGACAGACCTGAAAGACCTCACTCAAATAGATAGGAAAATATGGATTTCTAACTATTCAGATTATTTAGATCTCAAAAAAAGCCTCAAGAGAGCGCCGAGTTTGCGACTGACTCTAGCGAGCTTGTAGTAAGAGTAGTCATTGCTGCTAGAATGTCTGTCACGATCGCGGGCGTAACTCAGCAATTCCAGTAGGCACTCACGAAGTGGATGAGTCTAAAGATCGGAGGGAAGACAGCTTTCAGTGAGTTATGTTTCTTGTCATGGTCTGTAGGGAACTCAAAGTTCTCGCTATAATACTTCAACACTTCTTTCATATCGTGTTTCATAAAAATACGATTTCCAACTATTTGACCATTGATAGCATAATCTCGTTCGATAGAGAAAGAAAAAGCATGCTAGTAAATCTCGGTTCTTCCAACCACATTACAGACGGAATATGATGTCATCTATGAAAAGATGTGTTGTTGAGAATGCCACCGCGAAAATAAAACAAAAAGTCAAGCATATATAGTCGGGACAACAGGAACAAGTCGTTAATATGATTAAGTTATTACATTTTGTCATTTTAATTTCTGTAAAAAACGTCCAATTGGCGATGAGGAATAAAATTCACCCATATAAGATTTTGATGGATAGATAAAAATAAAAAACGTTAATGTTTGAGGTACAGTGATTAGTAAACCTGATAGAATATGTAAATGTGAATAGGCACTCAATTTAGGTTCTAAACATGGATGTAACGTGTTGGTTATGGCGAAAAATATTAAATGTGGTAATTGACACAGTATAATGACTAATGGGCAAACAAAATAATCACAATGTAATGATATTTGGTGTAACCATGCATGCCAACAACTTAATCGATTATTGCTACTATTAGATAGATAGACTTTTCGTCGAGCTGTACTTATACACGTGAGAATGTTTGATACAAAATGTACAAAGCATGGACCGAGCATGTTTATCCATGCTTGTATTTGTTCAAATCTTAATAACAATGATGACATACGATAAGTACAAATAAACAAAGATATGTTAGTCGGATCAGGTAAAACTTTTTTACCTAATATTGTTGGTATGCGACATAATGGAATAAATATGAAAAATATGAATGACATGACCAAAGCATGTTTTCTTGTTGTACCAAATAATTTAAAGAAAAATAATTCCATTAATGTACGTTCAAAAGCAAAGGAAGCAGAAGTCCATAGACTGACTGAAGTAAGTATTGTATAAATCGTTCCAAATACATGGCAACTTAAATATTGATAGGCGTACGATTGGGTTCGGGATCTGTGACCATAAAATGTTAACATTGTTCGTATTTGCATCCAAATTATGATATATATGGCACTTATTGTATAAACCTGTAGATAGACACCTGTACACGATAAACGTATACGCTTTAAAAAAATTGTTTGCAATGTCATGATATTGCTGAATAGACCGATAAAGCCCATTAAACACATGCAAAATACATATAGCAGTTTATAATTCACCGTGTCTGATCCTCGTATATTGATTAACATAGCAGTCTGGACACTATGAAGCAAAAGATTATCATATTCTTCACATCTTGAGCCTACATAACACGGAGGACACATACACGACCAACTGTTGTTGTTTTTACTAATGTGGCATTGACCATGATTCAAGCATGTGTTGTTCGGTGTTGCACATGTATCAATCGATAAAGCCATATAAAATTTGCAAATGTTCGCGTATCTGTTAAACACTCTTGTTGAACAAAAATATGAGAGCAAGAAAGAAAGGAAGTATTAGAAGCACGTCATTGAAGAATATTATTTCACAGAATTGATCATATCTAAAGTACATATGAGTCAATCAATTAATCACATCCTTTTTTTCATATCATAAATCTACAGCTTATGACAATATTTATCTTATGTTGAAGATAGTATAATAAAGTACTTCTTCTATTGAATTTACGATTAACTCGTTTTCAACATACATATTTGGTTGAAGATAAGCAGATCCATGACTTTATCGAAGCAGTATATATTACCATGATTTCAATGTGAACAATTATTTATCATCAATACCATCTGTCCTACATTTCTAATAATTTATAGACGAATAGAATGATTTCTGTTGTCGTGACGTTCTTGTTGGTATCAACTATTATTTATCAATGTCATTCAGCCAATATGGAGCTTCGATGTGGTGGTGCACTAATGCAAGTGGTCATGGATATCCTTGGAAGTGAAGGAGGATGTCGCCAAAGTTGCCGACCACATTATTATTCGTCATGGTGTAAAACAGCAGTATCAGCAATGAAACGAGTTCAGACGAGAGGAATGTTTCATACATATAAATCATTGTTGTCATTAAATCAAACAATCACAATTGGCGGTCATTTGACCATTCCAAATTTAGAAACACATTACAAACGTGATTGTGATCTGGCAGGATTCCAAAGATGTACAAAACGTGAATGGTTGAATGAGAAACGATGGTGCTTCAACAATCAAGAGGAACATCAATTATTGAACTATACCCAACACATTTTAGGAATACAATCATCTATGAAATATGTGTCACCAGTCGTCGATGACAATTGGAAATTATTACCATTCCCAAATTTATTTAATGTCACAATTTTAGATGTTAAACAACATAAATCATGTGGTAGTTCTCAACCAATAGCATGCCATTTGACGTTAGAAAATAGTTGTCTATTCTATATGTGTCACACAGACAAAGGAACAAAATTAATAGAAGTGACAGTTGGATATGGACCACTCAAAGTTGATTTAATCATGACATGTCACTTAGAATCAATAGAACATTTTAAAGATACAGATCCACTACATTTCATATTGAAACAGAATGGCGATCAAGACACATTATGCCATTTTGCAAGTCCACAAATCAGCTTTTATCTATGCGGAAATTAGACGATACTATATATGACCATCGAACTGAATAATGAATTTATCAAGAAATTTAATTTCTAATGTATATCGCGTTTTTTTAATATAAGACGAGAGAAGAAAAAAACATCCTTCTGACAAGTATTCAGTTCAAAAGACTTACGAAGGAAAAGTCAGTCGAATGTATCAAGCTTGTGTAACAGAGATGCCTACAGAGCAGGGTGAAGTCTTCATACCCTGTCAACAATTAACATTAAGATTTTTGCCTTTCCTCAAATTAAAACAGTAAAAAAATCCAGGAATAGGCTTGTAAAGACGCTAATAGCTGGAATACAAAGTATTTTCTGCTGTAGATTTATGTTCAAGGGTGTGGGTGTGGGTGTGAATTTTTTCTTAACTCCGCCACACCCACAGCCACACTCACACCCACCCACCAACACTCACACCCACACCCACACCCACACCCACACCCACACCCACACCCACACCCACACCCACACCCACACCCACACCCACACCCACACCCACACCCACCACACCCTAATCTCATGGTTTTGCAAGTATTGCTGCGCGTATCGATTAGTTTCACGAACTATAACGTCAACAATTTCGTCCATTATGAAATGCCGATAGCAATCAATAGGATTGATTGTATTGTCGCCTGAAACAGAAGTTACTCCTTCGAGAAGCCCATAATCGTCCATGAATTCTGCGTCGGATTCTGGTTCTATTTCATTCCAAGTATGTGAGTCCATGTCATTGTAAGTACGTTCTTCATTAGAATCGTCAGATTCAATGCACATTGGATCAAAATCGTCATCCAGAGAATTCACTTCACCGAGTGAGCTAGTGCTATCTTCTGTATCCATTTCTTCAAACGCCATGTGAATTATTTCAAAACTCCGGTCGTATTTATATACGGAACGATAGAGAGGAAAGAATAAGGGGAAAAGCTGGAAATTTCCTTCTTTTTCTCGTGCATACTTTGTATAATATGGAAAAGAACGAAAAAATAATCCGAGCGATCATTCAGTTCGGCAGAAGAAAATGGCTCATTGTGTGATGATATAAAGAAGAGAACGATAAATAACTGGTAGAAGACAACGAAAAAGTCATTAAGTGTATTTATTAAAAGTTAAATGTCCATGAAACTGAACGTCTCGAAAAAATTTTCTGAGAAAACTGAATCGGGCTGAATG